GGCACTTCTGCTGGAAACACATCACGGTGTTTACACAGAACATCATAGAACGGGCTGTCCTTCAAGGCATCCCAGCCTTGAGCAGCGAACCGTTTCTTTTTGTCGGTCTCCAAGACGCTCTCATCCATTGTGGATGAAGAGCAACAGTCCACCACGTTCTCTTCTGGAACTGGTGCGACTATCTCGTGGATCTTTCCTTCTTTTAATTCGGACAGGAACAGATCCCACGTCATCTCCGAGAGATTTACTATCTCCTCTGCAGAAGCCAAGACAAGTTGGAGCACCTCAACTTAGGATGCCTCCGGCATTTTGTCTTCGACGGCCTCGAAAAACTCGTTCGTAGGTCCGTCCTCTTGGACCGAGACTGATCCAAGATTCACTTGTTTTGACGTGCCCTTGATCGTCTTAATACGTCTGGTGCTCGTTCTTCGAGTCACCACGACCTTTGACCTGGAAGAAGGTGTCGTTGCTATCTCAGCTAACGCACTCCTTCCAACCGCACCAGGCTCTTGGCTCTGTGCCGGTTCTTGTGGCGCTTGACTTCCTGTCAGCCCACCATCACTGCCACAGGCTCTCGGCTCTGTGCAGGACTATTGGACGCATGACTACTTGTCATCGCCCCATTCACTACACTAGTCTCTTCGACCTGGGTAGGAATATGTGTCACCTGGCTTTCCGCCAGTGCACTTCCAACTACACCACTCTTTTCGAGCTGGGCAGTTCCTGGTGTCGATTGACATACCGTCATCGCACCCTCGACTGTGTTGGACACAGCATCAGTCACATAAGCCTCTCGCAAGAGCACATCCTTTCCGGTGTCTTGCGTAGAGCTAGCGACTGTGCGTGTACGCCAGTCTATTCATGGTTGGTGTTTAGCCAACCAAGGCATGCCTAGGATGAGGTCATACGGACTCTCCATACCTAGCACTGTGAACTTCTCTGTATAGGAGAAGTCACTGAAACTGAAGGCGAGTTCAACTTGAAATCCCTCCAATTTAAAGAGCGCGCCGTTCGCTAAACGAACGATCGCCTCTTCTCGATTGCCATCCTGGCAAAGCGACTCATAACTCGCCGGTCTCTTTTTCAGATCCGCGAGTTTCACAAAGTTCTGTGATGCACCCGAATCCACGAGAAGGGTCATCACTTGGTCATAGCCTCGTAATCGAGCGCTATAGACCAAAAGGGTTGAGGTCCGACCTTTCGGAACCTCAGGGACTATGCTACCCATTTGTTCGATTACTCTGAACTTAGGGGTAGCTTCAGAGTCCGCGACAGTAGGGCATCCCGCCCCTACTGCGCTCCCGCATTTCCCGACCCATCTTGGGCAGGTGCTGAACCCGTGCGTCGTGCACGATGGTTTTTCGCACCTCCCTTCGGGTTGGGCGACCTTTTGCTGGCTGCTTTAGCACCAGCAGCTACTTTGGCATAGCAGCGAGCCATCATATGGCCTCGCTTGCCGCACTTGTAGCAGATCACATCTGCATTGCCTAACTCCATAGGAGTGGCATCAGACCTCTCGGTCGACGGCTTGTAATAGGCTGTCGCCGAGGCGCTGTTGTAGGATTGCTCCTCGACTAAGGCAATGTCAATTGCCTCTTCCATCGTCGCTGGCACCTTTCTGAAAAGGGCCTGACGCGATGGGCCGTGCCTAAGTCCATTCATTACGTGGCCACCTTGATACGCTCTGGTATCGGTTCCCCATTAATGGACGACGACAGCGAACGCATCTCCTGCACAAATTCTTGCAGATAGCGTTTCGCCTGTCGTGCTCCAAAGAAGCGCGCCATAAGCAACACTTCGTTTTTAGGCGGCTGATACATGGCGCGAATCTTTGCTTGAAAGATCGCCCATGATGGAAATGCATCAGCATTATCCATCAGCGCAGAGTATGCCCACTCTGACGCTTTGCCACGCAAGTTGGACATGGCATACGACACCATTCTGGTGAGCTGCGCCACCCCACATTGCTCAACTGCTAATAACCAGTGAACAATCGTGTGAGGGCTAGTTCCATCGAACTTCGGAGGGTCCATCCGAATGGACATCGGTTGAGCAGGTCGGGCAGAGATCGTCTAAACAGTTCTGTTGAGCGCCTCATTACGTGCCTACTCAAGCCTAAGCTCATCCTGAGTCTTAGTGATGGACTCAGCGGTGGCTTGGCTGTTTACCTCGGACGCGTTTCTACGCTGTCCGAGCACAAACGCCTCAAATTGCTCCAACTGAGCAACATGTTGCTCAGGAGGACAATGCAAGAGGTTGACCAGGGCTTGTTCGCCAAGTCTCTGCGCCAAATGCTCAGCCAACTCCCTATGATGTTGGGAGAGGTGAGGGAAGTCACTCCAGTCCATATTAAGGACCATCTTAACCACACGCACGCTCAGAGAGACGGGTCGTGGGAAGTACTACTAGTGCTACCAAGTGTAGACGGACACTTCGTAATGAAGCTGCCACGTGCTACGAGCACACACCTTCAAGCAGCGAGAAGAAGCGGTTATACCGTCTTACCTCCGCGTGCGGTGGTAGTTGCGTTGGTCGGCGCTAAGAAGCGCTGTACCAACCGTTGCCGGTCGCTTTGAAGCGAACCGCGCAATGAGCTGCTAAGAAAAGAGCTACACTTACGACGCGCAGAAGCTTATACAATCTTCCTATGCGCAGTGGGTGATATATACATAGTAAATTTTTGAGACTGACTTATATTTGATAGATTCTAAACTAAATATAAGTTTAACTACTGATTGGTTAATGATGCAAAGATTGGATACGCGTCTCTTTAGAAACGTATCCTTACGTGCGAGCTTAAAATATATTTAAGCTCGCAGGTGACGTCTGTCTGAAGCGTCACCATGACGCCCAGTCCCAACTGGCGTCATCCTCGTTGAATGTGAATCCATCCATGGATATCACATTCACGAGGGTGGGTGACATTAATGTGCCACACCCAAGTGGCAGGACTAAGATACCTCGTACCTATTTAGCTCCGTTATATTCGATATAACGAACCGTGTAACTTTTAGCCCGTTACAGATACACCCCGTTACACGGAGGGTGTTCCATTACAGCAATACTATACTGTCAAAGGAAAATATTTGATGTATGTTTTAAATTACAAACTCTATAATAATATAGAGCATCACCGTCACTAGTTGAGACAGGTTTTACTGTATTTCTAAACAATCTGTGACGTGATACAGCAAAACAACACACGCTTTGCTGACCGTAGTCCATGATGCCGCAGACGCAGCCCATCGTGGTGTATTTCCAGGTATAGTCCTGTGTCAGTTTCGAAAGTGGCGCAGGAATAGGTTTTATCGTACTTGCAGCTCTGGCCAACATCTAAGCTCCATGCGCTTAGCAAAAATCGTAAGGCCTTATCTTCGCAGCTTGGCTTGTTGATTCGTTACTTTTGGGATGACGAAGGAGTGAGTTCGAACCCCAATCCGATGCAATTGTTGTTCAAATATAGTTCAGGGCTGAATCTTGGCATACTGCCTTGACGTTAAAACTTTCCCCTGCGGGTCCAATAAGGGTAGCACTTGTTGTTGGCATGTACACCGCACATGTGCATCTTTTTACTTCGTTGATTACCAGTAGATAACACTTGATAATGATGTGCGTAACGTTCAGTTGTCGATAATAAATTGGTATAACGTTCACTTGTCGATAGCTACTAGACGTTACAGATAAGACTCAGGTGTGACATGAAGGACATGAGAACTAAGGACCCTAATCGGCGTTTGCCTCCAGCAACACAGCAATGGAAATCATTGGAGCATTGCTGTGAAAAATATTGAGGATCAGCGCACGGCTTCCGACTGCCAGCGGCTCCGCAAGGGCCAGGATACAGGAGGCATCGTATCTTACGCGAATCCGCTCGTCCACGGATTCCCGTGGTGTGTGCCCGACACTATCGCGAACAAGCACGTACTCTTGGCCCTAAAGAAACAACCATTTTGTCGGTACAAAGGTTCGGACAGTGTGCTGACACGAACTCTGGCGGCCTTCTTAGCGGAGAGAAGTGCGTGGTAGACAGCAGCTTTACAGCAGACGCCAAGCAATCTATTGGCTCATGGGGACGAGCTTACTTACTACGAACCAAGTCTGGATCATTTATCGAGGAGCAGTGTGGCAACTGAATCTCTTCCATTCAGACCGAGGGCAAGATAACAGCTGCCGCAAGCTTCAATGCTGCCGAGGGGTGAAAGAAACACTGGAGCACATCTGCTGGACATGACCGTGCAACGCAAGCCTGCTAGCAGAAGCTCATATGCCACTGGACAGGAGCACGCTGGGAGCTTGGACGGCTTCAGTGCGTGTTAGCAAACAGTGCAAGCAGACGCGCGCCAGGAAAATTCACGGGGTTTTAGGCACAGCTAGCGCGATACCACTCAGACGAGGTGGCCGCATACACCGCCGTATGGACACGCATATGGCACATCTGAGCAGCGTTTGCATCACCATCTTGTGAATGCAATGCAACCGTGCGACGTCCCAGCAAGCGGATGTGACCATTATCGGTAGTGTGCATGAATTTTGGGCGCCAGTATGAGGCAACTTTGCGCCGTAGCGAAGCGAGAGTGCGGACGAATGGACACGAATATACAAGGAACTCGTCTGATGCTTTGCTAACGTGACATAGCCAGTCAACCCCGAAAGCCGTCACCGCAGGAAACATGCACCGTACAACCACTGGACTTCAACGAGGAACCGGCGTTGCCAACCAGGCTTCGGATCTACCTGACATCCTGCAATTACTACAGATTAAATAGACTTGTCTGCCTCTCTCACATGTGCTACCCTTACGGACTGTAGTCACTGGACCGTAAGTATTCAGTAAGACAATTAGACGACTGTTTTTCCCCACCAGCTGTAAAATCGGAATAGTGATGAGGAACATCCTCTCGTTATGTTGTGTGTTAGAATGACGTTTATCAAGCTGACATTGTGCAGTTGATTCATTCTTTAATCGGAACGAGAACAGTAACAGCTCACCTTTTTGACAGATGAAGCCTTTTTCTCCTTTGAATGTACTTACTTTGACAGCGTTGGCGGGCTGTGTGAACGCACACGGATACATTTCGCAACCCCATGCAACGTACAAGCCCCGCACCATCTACACGACCTATAATTGTAAAATCAATGCCAGCATTAATAAGGGATTCGCCGGCGGCATCTACAACGCTAAGCCAGAGGACAATGCCAAGCAGTTCGCCGAGCACTGGGACGCTACAGGGTACACGTCGCTTCTTGAGATGCTTAAACCCTATGCTCCAGACTATGGGATGTCAATTTCCACGGCAGACCCAGTCGATGTGAGCAGCTATACCGAGATGTGGTGGCAGAATGACGAGTACAAGGAAGGCTTCATTGAATCACATCATGTACGTTACGCAACTATTAATGGTCGTTGAGTGTTGTGCTAAATGAGTTTTCGTCGGTACAGGGTCCCTGTGAATGCTGGATTGATGAAATAAAGGTCTTCCACAATGACGATTGTTCTAAAGAATTTCGGTCATATCCTGCCAAGATCCCTATCGACTACTCGTCTTGTAAGGCAGGCAAAACATGTTTGTTTGTCTTCGCTTGGGTGGCGCTTCACTCGAAAGATTGGCAGGGTTACAGTACGTTTCAGAAGCATTTGCGATGGATCAGGCATTAATGCTAACAACAATTCGGCATTTTGTTTGCAGAGCAATGCGTGCCTATTATCAATAAAGGCTCGGGCAAGTCTTCTGACAAAGGTGCCACTGCCGATACAACTGCACCAAATGATACTCCAACTACACCCGCGATGACCCCGCCTGCTACCCCGCCTGCCACCCCGCCTGCCACCCCGCCTGCCACCCCGCCTGCCACCCCACCTGCGACCCCACCTTTTACCCCACCTGCTGCCCCACCTGCTGCCCCGCCTGCTACCCCGCCTACTACCCCACCTGCTACCCCGCCTGCCACCCCGCCTACTACCCCGCCTGCTACCCCGAATGCCACTCCAGATGCGACCCCAGATGCGACCCCGGATGCGACCCCGGATGCGACCCCGGATGCTACCCCGGATGCTACCCCGGATGCGACTCCAGATGCTACCCCGGATGCTACCCCGGATGCGATTTCAGATGCGACCATGCCTGCCCCACTGACAACGGACTTTACCCCGATCGCGACGACAGCTCCCGTGGGCACTCCTGCTACAGACACGAGTACTGAGACGCAGGGTAGTAAACCTGCTAGCTCTTGCAAAAGACGCAAGTGACTCATGCAGAGCAAGTCAGAGTCCCGTCTATCGAATCGATAGATGCAAGTAAGTCTGTATCGATTGCGTATTTCGTTGTCTAGTCAACACGTAGATGTGCTTCTAATGCTACAAAGAAATTGAAGCGACGCATTGCTCGTCATCTAGCAGTATCGCATTAAGAGCTCGTCTTTCTTGCGCCACCAGGCTTTTTTGTTTTGCACGTGGCACGTTATTGTAAAGCTTGCATTCCGTAGAAGCGGATCCAGTCGCAGTGCGTACTATGCACTCACCAATCTCATGTGGAGTTTCTCACCCATACATCTTCGAACGCATGGCAGCACATGTTGCCATCTGACAACTAATCTTTGCCTTGAGCTAAGTGTTGTTGCTCTCAGCTCTACGGGCGAACATTAATTCCTAACAGTTTCTTAGTAAGATGATGGAAGTAGTTTATAGAAAGCTCAGGACGATAAAGTCGTCGGGTTTTGTATTGATCGATATCCACGAAAGAATCTACCGATCAGTCATACGTTTCACAGGATAGTTTGGTGTTATTCATCGACAGCGAGGAGTGTAAAAAGCAACAGAATGAAAGATCCTTCCTTCAATTTATCATTCCTGCCGTTACTTTCGTCTCCGGTTTCACCATCCTGACTAAGAAGGTATCGCCCCACAGCGTAGACCCCAGCAACAACGTACAAGTCCGAGAGCGTCGCCATTGAACGGGATGAAGGCTTAATGTATGAGTTGTGGATGAGCTTTATTCTGAAATGAAACTCTAGCTGGAAAAAATGAGCAAGTTTTGAATTCAAAAAGCTCATGTCATCCAGGGGTCAAATGACCATTACATGCAGCATCTATACATCACAATGCACACTGTGTGTAACGCCAAATCAACCTTTACTAAAGTTTTGTGTTAGTTTCACCATCGCTGAACGGGGCTCATGGTTAGTTTGAGGAGCAACCACTACCTGAAACAGCGTTAAACGCTCCCAGTAAAAAGTGTAGACCACATTGGCCAAGGGTTTGATAAGCCTGCGTAGTGTCAGCGCTTGGGTCGCTGTTTGATATGAAGACCAGTTTGTTGAAGCAAATCGACGAATTGGAAGCTAGAATGTATCGAAAGGAATAGAACAGTGTCGTTAGCTAGTGTAGTATCAATTAGTAGAACGCAAACTTGCAGTTGCCGCAGTGGTCGAGGCCGGTTCGAGATCGCAACTTGTCAGGCTTGGGTAGCCACATTCCAATCAGATACAAAGTTGGAATGATTGGAACGTGGCTACCCAAGCATAACGTTTGTCATTTCCATGGTTTTTACTTCAGATGTTGCGATTGATCTTTGACCGTGTATGGCAGAAAAGAAGATAGTTCACCGAATCACTGGCACCACTCTTAGCGGAACTCAAAGAGGTTTGATACCGACTGGAAACATGCAATGTTATTAAGTACAACCTACCAAGCCGGAATACTGTTGTCGAACCTTCGGCGTACGAGCCATTGAACGACCATCTTGAACAAGAACGAAATAGGGGTACCCACCATCAACTAAGAAACACAGAAGATCGGAGAGGAGGTACTGAATTTCAAGCATTTATAGCTATTTCTGTTTACACTCCACCTCAGTGATACGATTGCATATACTCACAAACGTTCGAGTGGTATCAGCATCACGTGAGGTGAAGCAACCGTTGGACACTGACACTGGGAATACATCTTTTGGGAAAATTATAAGCGAGGCATTACACCACTGACACAGCTTTGTTGTGCTGTTGTCACGCGTTTTTTAACAATGTGACGGAACAGAAACCCAGCATGTGTCGCAATCAGTGTTGACTCGACGATTTGTCTATGATCAACAATTTTAAAGTTTAGGGGATGATCGCTGCTTCGTCACGTAAGCATACGTATAGCTTAATACAATGCAAGCCGGCAGTGGACAGAAATAAATATCACTCCTCATTGTATTTGCATTGATCACGCCGTTGGTCAAGGTAGACGTCATGCATTTACGTTTGCCCTTGGTATGCTATCCCATTCTTTTTCAACGCTATTACACGGTATCCGCCATGGAAGTGAACGTAGGGCACGAAGATCTTCAGTAGGTCTTGACGTTCTCAACGAGCACTCAAACACGATAGTAGGCGAGATCTAGAGAATTTTGGAGTGGACAACAGACCCTGTGTGTCGTGGCGTCCTTGAGGTCCTGCTCGATCTCCCTCCTGGATACGCACGATTTGTTCGTGGTCATCGTCTTCATGGTCTTCTCATTGTTCCTATCCGATGTGGATATTACAGGAGAATGTGTGCAGGGTATGAGCAGTAATCTGCTAGTAACAAAATGGATACTTTTTTATTAATGATATGTTGCAATGGTTTATCAAGACCCCATGCGAGTTGAATTGTGAAGTGGTTATTGTCTTTCCAAGATGACTGCTTCGCTGCGTATCAAACAACAAGCTCATCATCCTGTGCAGTGAACTAATGAAGATGCAAGCTTCAGCACGCATTGCCAACTCGTGCGATTTGTCAGCGTGAACAGCACGCCTGGTGCGAGCAGGCGTAGACTGATGTCTACCTCCTATAACGGGATTACACGATGGTTGGATAAATATATATAAAGTACCATGATTAAGGCATGGGAAGGTTTTGGTATTTATGTCACACTTATCACACTGCGCAGGTGAGTGTCGCCGTTCTGTAGCGTTAATAATACAGAGTAGGGAATCCTGTAGAACACGGAATACTTGCTTCCCACTGAGTGACTTTGGGATTGAGGAGAAAAAACCTCGTAGACCTGTCGCCGTCAACCCATGTCGATGTTGGAGGGTGCAACACCTACTTCAACTTGGAGCATTACATTAGAAAGTCCAAAATTGATAAAAAACTGTGATGTTTAGAGTATTATTTTAGAATTGTTCCCATTTTACATAAAGCTAATCATATTATGATAAATTTGGGAAGGTGGGGTAATTACCAAGAAGGTGAGAAATATTCCTATATAGACCGACATAAAGATAAAATTACAAAAGTAAGAGATTAAATCCCCTCTCTAATCTGCTCCTTCCCGTGCCCTCTCGTATTTTACCATGGGAGTGCAGAATCTATGGGTCCTGCTGGAGCCTGTAGGACGCCAGATTGAAATTGAATCTCTAGCGGGTCAAGTACTGGCTGTAGATGCGAGTATTTGGCTTACTCAATTTGTAAAGGCCATGCGTGATGATGAAGGCAATATGATTCGCAATGCTCATCTCTTGGGAACTCTTCATCGTGTAGCCAAGTTGCTTTATTATGGGGTCCGTCCTGTCTTTGTATTTGATGGACAAACACCAGAGATTAAGAAAAGAACGACGGCAAGACGTAGGAAACGACAGGAACAACAGACGGATAATTTACGTCACACGGCGCAACGAATTTTACTTAATAGACTAAAACAACAGACTTATGAGGTAAAATAATGGAAAAGTATGAACAGAATGATGGTCTTATTAATTTCCAATGATGTGGTAAATGTGTATTGTAGATGCAAAAAAAGGGCAGTGTCGTACGAAAATCAGCTGTTGCACGAGGAATTACTTTACCAGAAATTTCATGCAAAAAAGACAAGATCAATGAAAAAATTGACGCAAAAAATGAAGTTGAAGAAGATAAAGGAAGTACTGAAGACATTGAGCAGGAAAATACAATTGGCGAGAAAGAAGGACAAGAGACAGCAGAAGAGCAGGAAGAAAAAGAGGGGACCTTGGATGACATTGATTTGGACACGTCGCGACTTTCAAAGATTGACCTGCATGCGGTCTTTTCCCTCCCACCTCATTTACAGAAAGACATGATTCAGAAAATCTTGCGTGATCGACGCCAAAAGGTTCGGGACCAGTTCATTCCACTTGCTGGGAATCCGGAGAAATACTCGCACACGCAGATTTCATCATTTTTGCAAACAAGTGCACTTAACCGACGAATCGAAGCAGTGAAAAGGCAAAAAAGGGAGGAGGAGATGGCACATCAGGGCGGCGTTGGGCAAGGCCATCGAATTGATTCCAATAGCAATCGCTTTTACATTTATCAAAAAGAGACAAACAGCAAAGGCAAAAACGACCAAAGTGATGAAGATGTGATAGCGGATGTGGAGCGTACTGATTTGGCAGAACAAGTGTCGTTTACTGGATCGATGCAGCCTGACGATGCTCAAGTTGATGCCTCTGAGTCAGTGAAGATGCGGTCATTTTCTACGTTTTCATCTGAGGAACCGAAATTTTCGTCAGATGCTAATGCAAAGGAGATTACAGCGGCGTGGATCAAGCGGCATCAGGTTCGAGTCAAGCAGGAACCCATACTTGCGATTGAAAGGCTTCGGCTGGATAAGCTCAATAAGAAAGGATATGTTGCCTCTGTGAAGCCAGCTGGTTCCAACGTCGATGTCAAGCAGCTACCAGCAAGTGATGTAAGCGTTTCACTAAAGGTTGACGATGTTGAGCCTGAAGAAATGATGCGTTTTCAGAAGCTGTTCCCAGCATGTACAACCACACCTGTTTCTACTGTTAAAGCTACAATCGACGAGGATGACGAGGATGACGATGTTGACTGGGAAGAGGTAGCAGTACCAACCCTAAAACAACCGTCAAAGTATGTTTTAAGCCCTGAGAGTGGTGAGCAAAAGGCGTCAAAACACGCTGCCACGATCGAATCATTTCCCTCTGCCAAAACAGCTATACTAGCTGCTGGGAAGGAAAGCGGGAATGAGAAAGTTAAAAGTGAGAATAAGCTGGAGCATGAGGATACGAACAAAGAGGTCATAGCTATTGGTGTTACCCCTGCTGTTGTTACGGAGCAAATCCCTGCGCAAAATGAGCTACAATCGCGAAACGTTGACCTTCAAGATGAACAAAACGCTGATCACGAAGTTGATAACGCGGTAGGCGCTGAAGACTTACTTTTGACGCTGAAAGATGAGATGGAGGATGCTAAGGGGCATGAAGATCTTGATTTACTTAAAGATGAGGCGCTGCAGTCTGCAATGGCGACTGCCTCTAATCTCACGCAATGGGCTGCTGGTGCTGTGCGACGAGCACTGCAAGCGCATTCATTACAGCATGGTAGAAAAATCAGAGCTCAAAGAAGTTCTGTTGCAGCACCAAGAGAAGAAATCAAAGCTGTTTGCAACTTTGGTACATCTGAGGATTCATTTGAGATTCTAGGAGGAGAATCCAAGTCTGCCATACACGATACGCAGCGTACAGAAGTGATCGTCACCGGAAAAGAAGAAGACACTACGCGAGTCAGTGCTCGGGACATTCATGCAGTTGACGACAACGAGGAGCAGCTACAAGCCGCATTGGCGGCTTCAATTGCCAATGACCACGAGGAGGTAGCAGATGAAGCTCGTAATGCTCGTCCCCGCTATCTTCAGTACTCGCGACGAAGTCAGTCTCCCCAACCTAACGTGCCGATGGATAACACAAACGCAGAGACGAGTGCAGCCGCATTGCAAAAGGAGCAGCTCGAGCTGAAGAAGTTGCGGAGTCGGCAGTTGCGTGACACGGAAGGTATCACAGACGATATGGTGGCAGAAGTAATGGACCTATTGCGCTTGTTTGGGGTGCCCTTCCTTGTAAGCCCCATGGAAGCGGAAGCACAATGCGCGGCACTGGAACAACTTGGACTTGTGGATGGCGTTATCACGGATGATAGTGATATCTTTCCATTCGGTGGTCAACGTGTCTACAAAAACATTTTTCACCATCAAAAGTTTGTCGAAGCATTTTCGGCTCGGGACATTGAACGCGAGCTGGGGTTTTCGCGAGAGCAGATTATCGCTTTGGCACTACTCCTTGGAAGTGATTACACGGATGGCGTACGGGGTATTGGTATAGTGAATGCCACTGAGATTGCAGCTTCTTACCCGGGTATCAAGGGCCTCCGCGAGTTTAAGGAATGGGTCCATGAGTTTAATGTTGCTGAAGAGGCCCAGCGCGTTGCGTCGAGCGGGTCAAAGAAGAAAAAGAAGAAAGTGAGTAAAGGGAAAGCTGACAAATCGATTGAAGGGAGTGATGAAAATAATGCTATAACAGCTCGGGAACGCTTCCAGCGGTCTCACGCAACTGCACGTCGAAAGTGGGAATTAGGCGATGAGTTTCCAAGCCAACAAGTGGTCCAGGCGTACATGGCTCCTCAAGTAGATCGCTCTGATGCTCGATTCTCGTGGAGTGCCCCAGACTTGGATGCTTTGCGAAACTATTGTGTTAATGCTTTCGGGTGGGATCAGCAGAAAAGTGATGGCGTTCTACAGCCCCTTGAAGAAAAGGCAAAAGCTGCAACGGCCTCCGGTAGCAGACGTATCCAGACACGATTGGATCGATTCTTTACGAGCTATGACGACCAAGTACATTATGCTCAAATTAAGAGCAAACGATTGCGTTCCGCTGTAAGCCACGGTACCCGTAGCAAGAGTAAGAAGCAGAAAAAGTGATAGCGCAGAACATGTTATTCAAATGGTAAGCTTGGAGTTATTTTACCACAATGATAAACTCGTCTCGGTTCCGTTCAAGCAACACCGTTCCTGTCATTTATCAACAGCGACTGCTGCTTTGTCGGGGCCCTCTGAGCATCGCTGCGGCCCGGCAACCGATGTGAGTCCATCATTAGGCGGCAATGACATGTAGATCGATCGTGGCTCGTTAGCTACGATAAAAACATCAGATATCGCTTGCAGTTTTCTTGCTAGTAGTGTTTGCGATCAAGGAAGACCAGACACTCAAGACTGTCATGGCGATTGCATGGGCGTAGTTGCTGCCTTTGGCATGTTAAGAATCTGCCCCTGAAAAGCACTGAATAGATTGCCAATAGCTATAATGACGCGATTCAATGCAAGTTTTTATGTATAATGTCACTGGCTGATTCTTTTGATTAGTGATATGTTGCAATGGTTCGAGGGCCCATGTGATTTGTGGAACGACAAGGTTATTGTCTTTCAGACGAGCAACTGCGCCGCTGCGTTTTCAGCAAACACAGCAACCCATTAGATGCACTGTCTAGTTCGTTTTGCCTGCATGTGCGATTTGTGAGCGTGATAGTGCACACTTGCAAGCACTGATGTCCATCTTCCCTTTGCAACAGATAAAGTGAAAATCTAGCACCACTTTGAACGTGACAGCAGCAATTCAATGTTTAGTAAGAAAGTGAAAGTGTTTGTTAAGAGCTGACGTCGTCAGATTTTGGTATGTACAAGAGTATCCCCCATTATGCTGCACAGCTTGTTTAGTGGTTTTGTCGCCAGCGATAAATGTGAAGAGCAGCAGAATGAAAGATCCATCTTCAGTATCTCATTCCTGTCGTTATTTCGACTCCGGAGTCACCATTTTGATTGCAAGCAAACTACGCCACGACACACAACCAGAAGAGTTTTACATGGCGAAATCGAGTGAGTCACCACTTACCAGCGCACATAAGTCGTATCGGACAATACCCGCCTCTTCAGAACACAAACAAAGAATTGTCTAAGAGATGTCGGGGTCAACAGAGCATTATGCTGCACTTGGAAATTGACCTGTCGACGGTGGTTCGTTGCATGTTGCTTGCAAGATAGAAAACAAGGAAAATAAGCGTTATTGATATACGACGAAGTGAAGTTGGGGACACTCGAGCTTTCCAAGATAATGCTGCTCCCTTTTGATTTTTGTAAAGCTAAGTCTAGTGCATCGCTCTCGACAAACAATAGCATAGCAACACAGAACTTCACGTAGCTAGTCCGTAATACGGACAATGAAGACTTGGAATGTTTCGTTCCACGTGGCTGCGACCACACGCTGTTCAAGCAGAATCAACGAAGCAAGAACGCTGCACACTGCGGCAAAAAGCTTGGCTATTTTTTAAAATCGCTCGCCTGGGTGCAAGCGTGAAGGATTCAAACTCGTAAAATGGACGGGAGGGGGATCGTTAGTTTGAAGCACATTCAAATACTAGATCGAGTACACCCAACTTCAAAGTGCCGATTGGTACGCGACCTCAGCCAAGCTGGTCCTCTTACTATGGCTCAGCGTATTGAAGCGTCGACGTCGATCCCTTAGTGTCGAGATGATGCTTGCAGAAACCACCAAGAGCGAGCGTGACATATAGTAAGGGTTTCTACAAAAATTTTGGAGATTCTGTCGCGCTTGGATATTTTGAGGAGAATCTTGCACTAACCCATGTATGACGCTCGCGTGTCTTGCAAAAATGCGTTGAATGTTTCTACTGCATACTTTCTTCGTAGCGTGAATACTCGACGCGCACTTTTAATGCGTTGGTAGCGATTAATTCCTTAAGGTTGCAACATGATGATCGAGACGCACTTTGCACCCAGTGCTTGTGTTAAGGTCTAACAAACGTGATCAACGTGTCGAGGATATCGAGTAAACTACGCGACTTAAGAGACTCAAAGACGCATGAGGCACTATCATTTGAAGTAGGTCTATGTATCTGTCTACTTCTACACGTCGAAGTGAAAGAGGATATGTAGATATTGCAAAAATAACTTGCTACTATAAATTCTTCAACCAGCAAGATGTTGCCTAGAAGGGCACGTCACTACATCTATCGTAGAAAAAACTCCGTGTTTTACCGTTATTGTCTGCATCTAGTTAGAAAGCTCATCGTGTTGCTGTATTTGTGCCTACGCAGGTATGAGCTAATAATTTTCACACGGTCAAGCTTTTGAAATAAGTCTACCGCGGATCACAAAAGCTCAAGATAATCAAGCGAAGAAAAGATTCGTCACTCCTTGCTGCATCTATTCAGAAAGCTTGTAAATATGTCAGTTTTCTTCTACAGAGCGCTGTCACTGTCCGAGTAGTACATGATATCATGATCTTGATCTGCATCTTGCTGCATGGAACGAAAGTATTTCAAGCATCGTGATTTTGCTTGACTACGGAGTTGCTTTAATGGCAACAAATTAGTTCGAAATTTGTCGCTTTTAAAGCAACTCTGTACGACGATACTGAGAAACATGAAGACTTGATCTTGTATGCGTCACAAGTTGGACTAGTGTTCTGCGCATGAGCTGCTTACTTCGAAGCAGAAGACGCGAACGAATCTTCCAAGCAAAGAAAGCACCTGAACTTTTACTAAATTATCATCATGACGGGATGCCGCAAAAGCTCATCTTGATTGATATTGCGCTGGCTAATTGATTGCGATTCATTCATGAACTTCCTAAGTTTATTTTTATCATTAGCTTTTCTTAACTTGACTAAGAGCAGTAGAAATATGAAGCAAGCGATGCCAACACGTCCACTGCAACTTGGTGTCGTAAAATAGAGTTTTGAGTCTTGTCAGAAATTGATGAAGCTCTATATCGTGGAAAGAAGGTTATGAACTCAATGATAATGAACAATATGTATTCAGTCTTAGGAAGCTAACCATCCAACACGATTGTGCGCACAAATTCTATACTTTTGTGCGTGTCTTGGCCAACTCTTGGCTTTTGTGCAACTTGGAAGAGCATATTCATAGTATAGTAGAGTATTCAAGGACGTGAGCTTATACCTATCACAAGGATCAGACATTAACACGTCTAGTCACAACATAATTTTGCGAGGGCAGTTCCAAGGCTGCAGTGTAGGCGAGCCAAGTACGTTCCGGCCTCTAGCCGCTCTCCTTTGCAGTACTCTCATCAAAATATTATTCATTTACGGCCTACTCAATCAAAATTGGAGAACGTGTCGAGCCAACTTGCGAGCCCAATTCTGTTCTTCTCGCTTTCTTACTTCCACTTTTCTTAGTAGCGTCTCTCTTGTCATCTTCTTCGCGAATGACAAAAGTACTAAGTAGCCCAAAGTGGTCCGATAGCCAAAGACCATCTGCAATTTTCTCTTGACCGACGATCACAATCTCGTCAAAGACACATTTTACTGCTTCTTCAGTTGGCGCTGAGTAAAAGTACATACGGTCCAGTCGACTGCGGAATGACCGACTCGTGACTAGGGTGTTCCGCGTGCCATCAAAGGTGTAGCCATTCTCCTCCGTGTTGCCAGGTACCGACAACCAAAGATCTTTCCAGCCATTCGGTAGTCCTACTGTAGCCTATATTTATCATCAGTTACAACAATAACAACTTAGTGTATCAATCCAGATTAAACCTCTTGCAGGCAAATCGTACCATGTCCAATTCCTTTCCGTCATCTTTATCCGGCTCTTCACCAAGCAGCTGCTTCTTTTTTCGTCGCACCAACAATTTTTCTTTTTCCATCGTCGATGGTGTACTCAGAAAACAATTATCATGTAGCCATGTTCGAATCTCGAACACCTTTCCACCAGCAACCTTTTCTTTCATCATCTTGCCCACGCGCACCACCCCTTTGTCAATAGGATCTCCACAAGTGCGACACTTGGCTCGTCCAGTTTTGGAGAATTCCACATCCAAATCAGCAATTTCTGCAAGACGTCGATCCAGGAGCTTCATGTCTGCACGTATTAAATTTGTGTCCCCCATAAACACTGCCCCCATACAAACACTAGTATTATTTTCATTGATCGGTCTTTTGTTACCAATTGTCACTGCATCATCATTTTCTCCATTGTTTACTCTGTCCCGTAAAAGTGTCAAACTTTCCTTTAATTGGGACACTCGAGGTCCTGCAAATTTGGGTAAACTTTCGAGATGAGACGTTCCGACGATTAGGGTTTTGCCTGGAATGGGTTCAATATGCATAAACACAAGTTCACGACCCATACTCGTATTAGCAAATGGGTGCGTTTCAAGTGATTTTACTGGTAAAGCACTGAATAAAACCACAAAATACGTCTCTTGGAAAGGTGGTGCAGTATCGACACTGCAGTCGTAAAATTTCGCCCAATTCTGAGCTTTAAGCATCGTCAACGTCGCGCGTGTGACCTCTTGAAACCCAATGACGGCAGGACGTGTAGTTTCGACCAATCGACCGACCGCCTTCATGCGCACAAAACGTGCCACCTCATCGAAAAAGAGGTTGAACGTCAGTATTCGCAATTTCATCGCTGGGTTTATATGAGACCGTTCTTTTTTTCAGAAATATCGACTTTTTCAGGAAGAATAAAAATTACGATAGAGCAGTCGAGAATTGTTAACTTTATTTTAATGGGAAAATATAAAATAGATACCAAATAATGCAAAATTTAGAAAAATATACTACGACCTAGGCTTAGTTTTGTACGGATAGTATACGCCTTAATGTATTTTCTTATTTTCTCTGCAATTTCTACGTATTGGCCCATCATGTTACCTTAATACATTCGGTTGACTCAGGTAAATTAATTATACTTCAACAAAATTCTCTATAGACTACTCTCGAATACCAAAAAATTACCAGCCGGGTGAAGTGGCTAATTGAAGATCTCTGTGGAGACTGCCGAATCAATATGTTGTGGCGCACGGAGCGTGATATCTCATCGAAGATGATAAGGATGTGCGCGTGGGAAGGGCCTCTTTTTAACTTATTTACCCAAACTTTACTGATCGCCATTTCAAACGAGTTTTTGCTTAATAAGGGACAAGTTTTCGCTCAATAAGGGTGGTTATAAGCTTTTGCAATATGGTGTTAAAGCACTATTGCCACCAAGTCCGGCCGATGATGGGGCTGTTGTCCTGGTTCCATCTCAGCTGGGATCTCGGGCCATTCTGAATTGTACGTAAACGTCACAAAAAGGTTCGGTCAGCCATACTCGTGCACGATAGCCATGACGTTCTGGTATAGCTGGCTCATCTGGCGGTCGCTACCACCTCATCGAATTAAGCTGGAAAATTTGTCACTCCAATCATGCGATTCAGATACTTGGACACGACAAACAGATCTGCACTGGAACTCGACTAATCGTTCGTCGGTGATTAGCTCGTGTGATTTGGGATAGTGTACAACATGGTGATCAGGCGGGCTGTGTTACATACATTTCGCGCCTTTTCTTAGTCACCGAGCAATTTGGTCTCCCGTTTCTGGTTCGAATAAAGCAGTTTCATGTGCGAGTGGCCTACGCAATGACGATTCATAGATCTCAAAGGCAATTACTCAGTTAAGTCGGCTTTTGTCTGGATAGAGATGTATTATTGCAACTCTTGCGAGACAAATGCCGACATGTCTGCTACAGCGACTGAGAATGTGTTTGTCTATCTGCCAGCGATTTTGACAATCAATGTGCAATGTTATCTATGACGAATTCTTACGTTATGTTTGTATTCATCCCGATAAAAAGGCAGACCTAATGTGCTGCCCGTCCTCGGTATGCGATCGCTCATCAGAACGGCTGAAACCGGCGGTGTATCGTCACGCAAGGGTGCAGGATGAACGCCTTATGAAACCATCTTTGGGTCAAATCTGGACATCCATTACGTGAGATCGTATGGCTCTTTAACCTATTGTCATGTTCCAGTGTCAAAGAAAAGAAATTTAAATATGAACTCTAGAATGGGTTTTCTTTCAGGCTACAGAGAGGATGCTGTCAGCTGTTACGTGTACTCTCCGACGTAACACAAGCCAGGCTTCGTATCGGACGTGAAGATTTACGAATAAGTCAAAAACAAGAATCGATATGAGAGCTCATACCTCACAAAGGTTAATAAATGGCTACATACGTTTAGCGAGTCACTTAAGGGAGGCGAGCTTGTTGCAAATGCGGATAGTGATCAAGATAGCGCTTCCCAACTACCTGAATATGACATTTAATAAGAACAACGCGTATGCAGTGATGTTGAGATGATATCGGCTGAAAGCAGCCTAAAGGAGTCTGATCGAGAAATGTAATTACATGGTATCGAACAGCAAAGCAATAAACGAAAGCGAAGTCAATGACAGACTTGACTAGAAATTAACGTGTACCAATCGACGTACATGTTGATTTCTCGTCAAATCTGCCATTGACTTCGCTGATTCATATGAGATGGTGACGGTTGTATAGTCCACAGGCCGTGTGGTATAGACATTTTTAATGCGCCATGCATAGAGGATGGGAAGTGCAGCAAATGATACTCTCTAACGTTTGCGACTGAAAATTTTGCCGATCAAGATAGGTACTCAGTATATTGATGGCGTGACAAAAGACAAAATTTTGGAAATGCAAGGGGCTGTCGTGTACACACTTGATGGATTGTGCTGCATTGTCTGTACCTGTGATTGAAATGTAATGCGCACATCGATATGTCGAGGTGGGTTGAAGGAGAACGAAATGCTTACAGCAGTTTATACAAAAAACAAAGAGATATTGCCCTACAACATCCAAATGAGATTGACTCAAGACATCTTTTGATGCAGATTTGCCCTTCGATCTCGACCATTAAGCTGTAAGAAATTGGTAGTAGTGTTACTGCACTTGTTGCAGAAGATGTAGAAGTAAAAGTGATATATGTTAAGCATTAACTTTCCTCGTTCGTTAATACCTACACATGCATGCGAAACCACTACAACTATACCATCTATAGTTCACGTCTATCCCGCTCCGTCCCATCTGTTACGACATTGACAAGACGATGTGGTAATCTCGTCGCCTCGTCACATATGTCGCAACATCCTGGTGGTCCGACGTGGCGATATCGTCGCCTCGTTCCATCTGTCAGCACGTCAAGTCTGTTTAGCCAATCAGGTACGGTTGTTACTTACCGCATAACAGGGTATTGCCCTTGACCTTCACGACCTGTCAACAACAAAAGCTTCTAACATAAGAATGTGTTCAAGTATGTATACAATGGCCATGTTTGCACGACGGTGGTGGTTTAAGATATAAACGAAATCCAGAAATACATTAAACCGATTTGTTTCGGCTCCAAAGACATGCTGGCGCATCTTGGGCATCAAGATGCATGACCACTCGCATTCAATACAATGCCTGCAGACCCATTTGCCAGATCAACAACAAGTTACATCCAACGCAAACGGCAGTCTGGTGGATGCAGTGAATGATGGCTGAGCACGTAAAACGACACTCACACAGTAATTTGAGCTCCACTGCACCAATGTGCTACACCGGAAACAGCTTACTTGAGTTTTCCATCACATTTGTCTGGAACATCACCAGAAAACGATGGACGGTGCGAAAGCGAAGAATGTGCGTCGGCCGTGAGTTTAGTGCTGGGGATAGGTGCTTCCTATGGACATTGCTTACAATCGTGTAGGAAGAGACATCTTACGAAAATATGATGGTCTGCAGCACAAGACGTTCAAGGCGGCATGTGTTGGCCGTGGATTGTATGAGAACGAAGAAGTGGAGCAGTGTCTACGTGAAGCAGCGCTGATGCAGAGAGGTGCTCAACTGCGATCCCTCTTTGTCACGAAGTTAATTTATATACCACTGTAAAAGTGATGAAGGTAGAAGAAAGCAAATTGGGAAGTAATTGTATTTGGTCCTTAGTTCGCTACCTTGAGCTACATCTAAGCCTGTCCTCATCAGAGCTTCGTTACTGGCGTCATCTAGATATGTCCGTCATGTCCTTCTACTATTGGCCTGTATCATATACGTATCCTGTAACGTCAGGATACAAATATGATTCCTATAACGCCATTCGTTTATCCTAGTTTCATTCTTCAGTGAAATATAATCAACCACCTGTTGAGCCGCGACACCTATAAGATGAGTTTTAACATAATTTATTCAATGTCTGCGCGGTCGACTTTTTCAGAATGTAAATACAGAGCCGTCAGCTGCTAGATCACAAGTCTGGCGCTCAATAATAGCAAATAAATTTTCGACTTCTGAGAAGACCCTTGCGGACTATAGCCTGTCTGCCTCTGCATTTGAATGGAAAAGCTACAGGAAAATCGCATCATTGCAGAGCAGCCGGCATTCAGCGTAGACAAGTTGAAAGAAGAGGCAGACAACGAGGTGCAGGCTTTAAATGCGGAGCAGCTTGACACTTACCCTTGGATCATGGCATCCTGTGACGAAGAGCAAGATAGAATATACTTCATCGACGGCTCCGGTGGAATCAACCTTTCATATCTAGAGGAAGTAAGTGCGGGGTCTAGGACATATATAGTTGGCAGTGGCGTAATTTGAGATTGCAACGCTGCCATAAAATCAGGGTCGCACCGCTCACTCTCGTTTAAGATGCCAATTAATCTGAAGCCTAACTCAGTGTGCTCGATAAGAAAACAGTGATCTTGCAGCGATGCAACGTCGCACAAACTTTATATTTGAGACGAAGAACCGATAAAAAATGTTTCCTTTGAGGCCGTAGACCGACAACTTCGCGATATCACCAAAAATCTGGCATTCTGGCTGCGTGAGATCACTTTTGTGATGTGCGGTAGGATCTTCTCGTTGTTTCGAATGGCTTGCATCCGGATATTGTTGCCGGTCCTAGTTAAAAAGCCGTATATCTGGAGTGTGCAGATTACGTCAGAACATGCACGATGCGCCAGTGCTGATCGAATGGCAGATATCGAAACTCGCTCCTTTGCAGATTATCTTTTGGTCTTTGATGAAGACAGGCTGGAGAAGATTACGTCCAGTATTTATTGACAATATCGACGCTGACCGTGATACGCCTCACCGGCCATCCCAAAGGTAAGTAGTCTGATCATGATAGATGAGGTGTCTCATCTAAATATAGGGATAACTAACGATAGCTGGGATCAATAACAAAACTTGTCCCATCTGATGATAGGATGATTATAGAAGATGTGAATTTAGATGTAGACTGCATGTACTTAAGCATGCTGCTAAACTAAAACTCAATCACTTACTTTGCAATTTGATAACTCCTGCACACTTGCATCTCTTTTTGAATCTTCGATCCTCTACTCTTCTCGCCTCGTAGAGCTCTTACCAATCGTATCCAGTATCCATGTTCGTCCACAATAACCCGCTCGAAGGACTTATCAACATCATTGTAGATACATCACGGTTGTTGCACAAAACGCAAGGCAATAATACTTTTACAGCCTGGTAATCATTGTCGCCCGACACGACAGTTCTGCTGAAACTAGCACGTCGGTGCTGGATACGATTCAGCGAAGGTGCATCAATACTTAAGAGCGGATAAAGTGTACG